AGTGATCGGGACACTCGCTTCACAGGAAGATTTTGGATGGAGCTCTTCAAAATTATGGGGTCCGAACTTAACTTTTCCACAAGCTTTCACCCGCAGACCGATGGCCAAACGGAGAGGGTGAACGCTTTACTCGAATTATACTTGAGGCACTACGTAAGTGCCAACCAGAAGGATTGGGTCAAGCTCTTGGACATTGCCCAGTTTTCATACAACTTGCAGAAAAGTGAATCAACTGGGTCAAGTCCGTTCGAGTTAGCCACGGGGCAACAACCGATGACTCCGCACACTTTAGCTGTTGGCTATAAAGGCCCGAGTCCTTCAGCTTTCAAGTTTGCCAAGGGGTGGCATGAAAAATCAGACATGGCGAGGGCGTACTTAGCTAAGGCCGCGAAAAAGATGAAGAAGTGGGCCGATGCTAAGAGGAGGCACCTAGAGTTTGAGGAAGGTGACTTAGTCATGGTGAAACTCCTTCCTCATCAAAGCCGGAGGTTCGCCAAGGTTCATAAAGGGCTAGTGAGGCGCTATGAAGGACCGTTTCCTATAGAGAAACGCATCGGTAAGCTAGCCTATCGCTTGACTCTACCTTCACACTTGGAGATGCATCCTGTTTTTCACGTAAGTCTACTGAAGCCATACAACGAAGACAAAGATGAACCAAGTAGAGGTGAGTCTAGAAGAGCCCCTACAGCAATTACTACGGTGCCAGAACGGGAAGTTGAGGAAATCCTCGCGCACCGAGTAATACCGAGACGTGGGAGTCATCCGAGCTACATTGAATACTTTGTTAAATGGAAAGGGTCTCCCGATAGTGAAGCAAGCTGGGAACACGAGCTGGCTTTATGGGACTATAAGGAGAAGATTGAGGCATACAAGAGGGATGCGCCGAGGACGTCGCCACATTAAGTGGGGGAGAATGTAACGCACCGCTCATGTTTTGCCCAAGATACACAAAGGCTCGCGACCCAGAATTGTCCAAAGGTGTCCACAAAAGTCTTGGGTAAGTCTGGAACTCTCTAGAAATGTGTGGAGCTTGTTGGGGAAGCTTGGAAAGTTCCAGAACACTATAGATACTTGTGGAGACACCTAACCCCTTGTAAATATCTAGATATTTTTGTAGAGCATTCTAGATACGACATTGTAACCGTCGGATCAAGTAGATCTTAGCCGTCCATTGAGGAGGTGGAGAACTATAAATACCCCCTCCCCCTCATTCATTTGACACACTCAAGAAAGTGAGAGTGGTGTAAGTACTTTGAGAGATCAATACAAAGTTCTTTCTTTGAGTCTCTTGTTCCTTCGTGAGTAGGCTGACTAGCAACTTAAGGCAAGAAGTTTGCTAGGCCGCACGGTTCGTTGGAATTGCGACCAAGTCCGTGACAATGTCTGTGGGCAATTCCAAGTAACAGCGAAGCAAGCTTTTCAGGACCATCCAAATTTGAGTTATTGTTGGAGCCTCGTTGTACCTGCAAATCGCATGCCATACTTCATGTCTAGACCGTTTGGAGAATGGATGCAGGAGAACCTCAGCACGAAGAACTCTGGAGCAACTTGGAGCATCACTTTTGGCTTGCTATGTTGGAAATCCTGGACAGTCCGAAATTGGAAGCTTTTTAAGTTTTAACCGGGCAGAATTTCAAGCACACCGTGTTGTAAATGAAGTTATTGCAAAGGCTGACTATAGCCAGGGCTTCAGACACAACAACCAGTAGCTTTTGATGTTTGTTTTGTCCTGTTTTTCACTCTTCGTAAACCTCTGTAAATATTTTCATCTGTAATGCATGTCTCATTCCCAAAAAAATTAGAGTTATTGTTGTCTCAATCTCAAACATGTGGATTTTTTTTGTGTGAATAGTACGGGCCCATCTCATTATTTCAATATCAAGAAATTTCTCATTTATTGAGGAGGTTCTCAAAAACATTAAAAACTTCACTCATCTCAAAACTATGATTAGCAAGATAGCCTACATATGTTTAAATTTCACTTGTTTAAAACTATCTAGCTCAATATTTATACTTTTTAACAAACTAGAATTAGCCTCTCTATCATCTTTTTACCCGTGCAACATATTAACAATAAAAATAAAATCACATTCAACAATAAAAAATTTAATACTAAAATTTTTTGCAATTCTTAAACCTATCATGACTCTCCAAATTCCAGCCTACATAGCAGATCATGAGCCCAACTTCTTAGGCCCTGTTTGGTAGAGCGTCAGAAATCACTTTATAAACACGTTTCATGTAAGCTAAGATAAAACTCTTCTCACATATTTACGTCATATTTTATAAATCACAATTAAAAAGTTATTTATAAACTATTCCAAACGGACAGCCAACCTTTTATGCCATCTTCCATTACAGTCACAAATCAATCCACCACACCATGCAAGATGATTGTTCCCCCTTGGCCGCTCTATCAGTGTTAAGCCTCATCCATCCCTCCATGTGCATTTTCCATCTGATATTCCTTTCATGTTTCCTTCCCCCCATGCCACCATATTTCCCCAAAGTAAACAAAGTTTCATTTACATCATGATCAATTTTCATTTTTGGATTCTCTGGCAATCTAAACTCATTCTCAAATATACTCCTGTTCCTCCAATTCCACGGCAGGCAACAAGTAAACCCAAATGCAATCACCAACCTTTTTTCACTTATTCTGAAATTTCATACGTACCAGTCTTTACCATTCAATTTATAAATGTCTGAACTGAAATCAGATTCATCCAACTGGACGCAAACCCTCCTTGCAAGACCACCATCCCTCAATACATGCATGAGAAATTCCTCCTCGTCATTGCATTTATAACAGCAATCCACATAAATACTTGCCCCGTTTTAGGTCCCTTCCACTTCCAGACTTTATTCCACGTAACATCATTCATGCCAGCTTCATGTTTCATTTTCTGGCACATTTCAGCAACAACACAACTATTATGAGGAATTTTAATTATGATGCGCTGGCCGCTAAGTTTACGAAGGACTGATTATGCAATTTTGTGGTCAAGAGATATTTATCGAAAATACATAGGAGATACAAGGTCAAAAAAAAAAAAAGGAGATACTTAGTGTCACTGAGACAGAAAAATATTGGCATTAAAACTCTAAATTACATGTGCAACTTTAATTTGGATCATTAGATATGATATCTTTGTCGGAAAAAAATGCTATGTAGATTACAATATGTTCCAAATTTTATAAAAATAATGAAATTAGTATCACAGGCATCTATGCCACATATTGCTATTTAAATAATCTTGATCGGAACATTATGATAAATTGATAGGCTATATTTTTAACTATTTTCTTAGAACATTTATATATTTGCTTGTAATTGCTTTTTAGATGTTATTACTTTCGGTTTTTAATATAAGAACTAAATAATTAATTTGAGAATTAAAAAAATAATTAAATTAGCTAATTGTAACAAATATATATTGACTAAATTACTCTATTTAATTATGTGCATTAGAATTGTTCTTTGATGATAACCCCTTGCAATCAATAATTTAGAAAAGAATATTATAAATTTGAAAGATAACATAGATTGAGATTTTATATTTATGACTAAATTAAATCTTTAACTAATTTTTATATTGATGACTGGATCTCTACATCACATGGGGTGGCTATTCAATTGATGTTAATGAGTTTTTTTGCTGGTTGTTTTTTCTTGATCCTTCTTTATATGGTAAAAAAAAAGTTAATAAATTAATTTAAAATTTGATTAAATTTAATATTTTAATTCATGTCATTTTGACTTAGTTATAACTTAGTTATTAATTTTAACTCATGCACCTTAATTTCTATGGTTTGGCTAAAATATGCATGTGATCTTTTAACTTTGTAAAATGTTTCAATTTGATCTTTTAATTTCAAAAAGTATATTTTTAGTTCTTTAATCCTAAAATTGTTAGTCGTAAATAATATTTTTTTATAACAATCATGATTATTTTGAAAATTAAAGTCAATATATTAGTATTTGAGAATATTTTATAAACATTCAAAATCTCAATATCATCATTTTTTGTTGTTGATGATTTTGAGGTTGAAGGATTAAAAACATGCCTTTTAAAGTTAAGGAACTAAACTGATACCTTATATAAAGTTAAAAAAAATAAAAATATGCTTTAGCCTTATATTTTTAATTATTTAAAATTTTAATTCCTAAATTTTATAAAATATATAATTTTGCATTTTAAATTTTGATTCTCGGGTATATCGAGTAAGATCCACTTTACCAGATTACTTTTTTTTTTTTTTTAATACAAAAGGCAGCAAAGCTTGACATTTAATAAAAGCTACTATGCCAAACCCCCACTCCCTTGTTCTTATCATGCGTGGTTTTCACAAAATTCATCAGTCAATTCTTTCCTTATCGTGTTGCAATTCTTTCGCTTTCATGTGATTGCACATAGAAAAATTAAAATTAAAAATTTAAATTCTTATGTAGTAATATTTTATTGAAATATATTTTTGATTATATTGTAAAGCATACTAAAAATAAAGAATATATATCCAATAAAAAAATTGTTCACCTTATTAATTTTTATTTTTGCCAGCAAGGAAAAAAAAACTGGAACACGACATTATTTAATTATTTTTAACCACATTAAGTATATTGAAAAACTGAAATTTGGAAAAAAAGAGAGGAGAGAATTGCAATAAGATCTCAAGAAAAAAACTTATTCATGAAAAAATCTCTTGATAATTGAATAGCTTGTAATGATAAGATTCAGGACATGAATTGATAATGTGATAATTCTCCCAAATTTTTCGACCAAATTGCGTGATAAAAAGATGGAAGAAACAACGGACACACATGATTTTTTTGAAAAAGGAAGAGCACAGAACTAGCCGTTACAAATCACAATAGTTCTAAGGTGCTTCCCAACGGCCATATTCCGGCCCCGCAAAAGTCCCAACCAACGAATACGCGGGCATGACCGTTCGGCCTGGGAACTCTGGCTCTATATAATGAGCAAGCAAGCGCTAGAGGTGGGCACACATCTAGATCGATCCACAATAACTCAAACTATCACCCTCTCCTCGGAAATGGGCATTTCCGTGAACAGTCAGTCAGCAAGCTCGATCACTCGACATTGCCACACCTACAAGGTCTTCCTTTTCTGCAACTACATACTCTTGGGTGCAGCATCAAGTTGCATCTTTCTCACCCTATCGCTTCGCCTCATCCCCTCTGTCTGTGGCTTCTTCCTGATTCTTCTCCACGTCCTGACCATTGCAGGAGCTGTCTCAGGATGTGCTGCAGCTTCGGCTGGGGCTAGCCGGTGGTACTCTGCTCATATGGTAGCCACCGTGCTAACAGCCATATTCCAGGGTTCTGTTTCTGTTCTCATCTTCACAAGAACTGGGGATTTTCTTGGTCAGCTGAAATCCTATGTGAGAGAAGAGGACGGTTCTGTCATACTCAAATTGGCCGGTGGGTTAAGTATTTTGATATTTTGCCTGGAGTGGGCTGTTCTGACGCTCGCTTTCTTCCTCAAGTATTACGGCCACGTTAATGGTGATTCTGGCGCCAATACCATGGCTATGAGGAGTGCCAAGGTGCAGCAGGAGGAGGATTTGAAGGATTGGCCATGGCCTTTCCAGGTCTAACAATTTGCTTCTCCTTACAACTTCCATCATTCATTAATTTGTTGGTCTCACCCGTGTATTTACAGTTCCTCTTGCAAGTTCATGACAGATCAATGTTCAACTATTTTCTATTACCATTCATATACGGCTTCCATTTATTGGTTTTTAGGGGGCCAGATTTCAAATATATTTGATTGAGGTTTGTAATTTCTCCAGAGAGTAAATCGCACTACCTGTCTCTCCCTTCAGAAGTTCTCATCGGTGATTGTTAAGATTATAGTTGTTACTACTACCATGATGATAATTTAGCTTAAACGATGCCCCTTCATTCAATTGTCAATTTAAAACTACAGAAAGCGCCCGACAGATCAACGAAATCATGCCCAAGACGGCGAACTGAAGGCATCTAATTTTGACTTAATACGCCTATTCTTACACCGCCTTGCTAAATTAATTTGAGAACATTTTTACTCCAAACACCTCCTAAGTGAAAGCTACACAGGCTTCGATTCCTAACAACTTTGAATAACAAGTCATAGATTAGCGCATGCCATGGGTCCAGGAGTAAAGAACTTGAACTATGCTATCGTTTTTATCAAGTTTCCGCCAAGTCCATGCACAAAGGTAAAGATCGTACAGTATTCACAAGGAAATCCCATTCGGATGTCAGGGACTAAAGTGGTGAAGTTTCACCGGTGTGCGCGCTATCCCCAGAAGGAGGCAAACACCTTTTCGAGAAGAAGGTGGTGATACTCCTGGCTCCCCTGTTGCTCTTTTCTGCATACCCACCAGGGTAAAGTGCCAAGCCAAGCCTAACCAAAACTTCTTTCTTCACCTGCATAATAATTCAGCTAACTTAGAAATCAAGAGTCAATCAGAGGGTGTACGTTTTCCATCCAAAGGGAGCAAGCAATCATTTTGGAATAGGATTCACTAATTCAACATTCAAATTTTTCAACTCAGGCAACCAGTAAAACATTGGCTAAAAAGAACGGCATCCAGCAAAATACAATGGGATCCATAAAATCTGTTCATCCATTGCGAGACTAAAAATTGCTTTCATATACCTTTAAAAGCATTTTCATGGTCACCAAAATTTTCAGCTAGATTAGTACAAGAATCGCTTCATTCTGCAGGCCATAAAGTATAACCAACCATTGGAATCCAAGTTATGTGTGTTATGTTTATAATGAAAGAATCTCTACATCTTGCGGATCTTACAAAAGGATCAGCTAAAGGCTCATCTGAATCCAATTTACGTGTTATGTTAATAATAACCCCCCAACAAATGCCAAACTAGCCAAAATTTCCTTCTGAAGTGTGGTGCTTCTCGGTTAATACTTGGCTCCCAACTGGATAGCTCCCTACATTAATGTTCTAAAAGAAAAATGTTTAGGCTGCACCAGTCATGCACAGATTTAGACACCTATGCAATTTTGGCTGGTTGTCGGTAATTACTTTTTCTAAGTATATTTATGATCCGCCATTTTCTCATCATGAAACTTATCAACAGTTGCAGAACATTAGAATCTCCACCGTTAAAATAAATTGATTGAGGTATATCACACAATCACAAACCTGCAGACGGTTGTCAACATAATTCGATACTTCACGCAATTTATTTCTTAGGAAAGACTTTGAGACAGCAGGGAACTTGTGTTGCAAAGACTCTAAGACCTTATTTATGTCCTCAGAACAAGTCTGAATCGCAGTAACCTGGAAAAATTGAGAGAAAATAAGGCAAAATAAGTATATGCCTGAGAAGTTTGCATTGTATGCCACAAAATCAGCTGATGCCTGATGATCTTCCCGACTAGACCCATCACAAGCATCTTAACGGAAATTGAACAATCTATCGTTTTAAAATCACAGTAACTTTCAAAACACCAAATTAACATCTCTATTATCTTTAGCAACTCACAATTTCAACTGCATGCCATTGTATCTAGCCACTTATACTAGCTGAAATGCATGACTAACAGTTCTAGGCAGATCTGAGTCTGGTGTCTAGCCAAAATTATAATTCTTTTTTTTTTTTTAAATTATTTAAGAGCTGGAATGGATAGCTTACAATAATAAGTAGGTCTGACTCTGAAATTTCTTCCGCAAAATAGTTTGTAGCAGCAATTTTACCAGTAGAGAGGCAGGCTTCTTGGTCCTCATCTTGTATTTTATCCACACATATTTGTATACATGAGCCACCAGGTATTAGGCGCATACTCAAGGCTTGCAGGCACATAAGCTCTGGCTTAGGGTTACCACTAAGATTGTGACTCAATAACATACAGTCCTTATCATGCATCAAATTTGTTATTATCAAGGGCTGATTTTTTCGAAGAGCATGCTCTGTCAAATTGTTCAGATATTTCTGCTGTCGAAGAACTGTACAGAACTCAGTTTCTATATCTTTACATCCAGTTGAGCTCCCAGCACCCTCAATGTCAATGTCAATATCAGTTTCTGATCTATCCAAATGTGCACCCTACATTCAGATACATAAGAAAACTGGATTCCGGCACATACTTTTCTATGTAAACATCCAAATGCAACTTCATTTAAGGGGACAAAAACAAAAGATTTACCTCATCTTCAGAGAGATATCCATCAGGCACAAAAAATCCATCTTCACTTTCATCATCAGATTTTGAACATTCCTCTAAACTGTCCTCTTCATCTTTATCACAATCTGAAAGACTTTCACCAGGATCCTCCTAGACAATTGAGAATGTTGGTATTAGATGATATCCATCCTATATTATTCAAATTAAAAATGGAAGTTCAGAGTACCTCTTCCCATTCCTCATCACTGCTGATATCATAATCCAGGTTTGGGTCCTTCCTAAAGGGATGGCGTGGCCCAACAACATGACTAGAAACACATCAAAACGTATAAGCAATCTCAAGAATAAGACAACACAATTACTGATCAACAGTAATTCTGAGATGAGGGGTCTAAATCTACGTTAAAGTAAAATTTAAATATTCATGAGCATGTAAGAGATAGACAGAGAACATTCGGGCAAAATGCATATGCTACTACCATTTCTAGACTTGCATTAAAAGTCATCAAGGCAGCAACAAACATACAACCATAATGACAACTGCAATGCAGATATAACCAAGCAGTCCATTTTTGAAGGGCCATGTTTGGGGAAGGAAAAAAGAACTCAGTGAACTCTAGATGCCTAGGCAAGATAATTCTGACTACTGTTTGCTTAGTAGGAGTACTTTTAACCAATGAATCAATGACAAAAGACATCAAGGGCTGAGGAATACGCAATGAGAAAGACCCAAGTAGCATGATATCCTTGGTCCCACATATAGCAGTATTAGATTTTCCATAAGATGTATAAGTGAATTATTTTGCTCACTTAAATAGCTAACTCTGGAGACAGGGTTCTCCATCTAGCTTGAGTACCCATCAATTGGTATCAGAACTAATGGTTAATAGTTGCACAAAAGCCTATCTACAAAACCTTCTGTTTGGTGGAGGGTTCTGAGTGACAAGAAAGTCAAGAGTCATAGAGTGTAGCCACTAGGATGTTGGCCCTCGAAGGGGGGCAATTGATGGAGACTAAAGTGATATCCCAAGTCCTGCATAAAGTAGGATGGAATGATCTGTATGGTATTTAAATGAAATAATTCTCCCATCTCAACGATTAACAAATACCTATAGGAGACGAATTCCCATCCCAATTAAGTACCCGTCATGTAGAAAGCAATAGGGTGAGTCAATAGCAATGCATAGGTCACTTAATTTAATAAATTATATTAAGCAATTAAATAAAGGCCAAAAAGGCAATGAAGTACATTAGGGGTATAATTTGATGGAAAATATAACTAGATGATACAAAACAACTTCTAACACATGAAGTAATCATATCCATTATAATCATTAACAATTAGAAAAAGATGCGCATGAAGAGCAGTAAAACTTTTGAGATATTGACTTCTAGGTAAGGATTTAAGACCAAGAGATGTGCACTGGAATCCAACCCCAATAATTCGGGAACTAACCTTTTCTTGGGCCACATACCATAAAAGGCAGGTTTATGGCTATTATCAAACTGTAGCAACTGTTTTCCATGACAACACTTCTTGATTTCCAGAAGGGAATCATCTGGATTCATCATGCATGATAGGATGTCAGAATTATTTCCTCCCAATCCATCTACCTGCTTATCCACACCCGGCTCTTCATGATGAGATACTACTCTAGTAGCTGTCAGCTTAAGCTCCTTAAAAAGTTCAATCTTCGGTTTTTGACGTAAGCCCCAGCCAAATTTTCTGTTTGAGCGAATTGACTGACCTAAACTATGCCATGACGAAAAGTGGAACCTGCATAGTTGGACATTTTCTTGAGATCGAACAACCCAGATTTGGGGGCCCAAAAAAACTTGCAAAGATCCCAGTAGTTGTCAGCTTAAGCTACTTTTTGAAAGAATAATTTAAGAAAAGAAAAAAACTTACTTGCGAAGATCCTCAATACTAAACTCACTACTTGATGTAAGACTGTGATCCATTGATTGTGTAACAGACCCAGATAAAATTCCACTCTCTCCATTAGATGTGTTTGCTTTAGCTGAGAACGAGTCATTCTTGCATGAGGGGCTGGTTTTGCTTCTTTTAAGAAAACGCTCCATTATAGAAGCTTGCTTTTGTAATGAACGCTTCTTTTTCAATTCAGCTTCTTCTTTCTGCTGACGCCGTTGATCCTTGTCACTGTCTTCTAGCTGCTTTCTGTGCTGTTTTCTCTTTTCAAACCCATCATTTTCACATCTTTCATCTTTTCTTGCCTCTCTTTGTGGAACATTTTCCTGCAATAGTAGAGCAGTTGGGGGAAAAGACAGTCTTTAGCAATCAAAAGAGATTAATCAACATTACATACATGAACACGAAGTTAGAAGATTAGAGTGATTATAATATAGACTCTGGAAGGCTGCATCAAATATAATCTAATGAAACCGATAAACACATTATTCTATCACCAAGTCAATTCCCTTCCTAATTAAACTTCCTGCAGAAACCTTTTGCTTTTCTTCTGTCAATATCTCCACCACCTTGGCCAACAGAAATCTTTAACAAGAAAATTTCCATAGAATGCCTATGCTGGAAAGAACCTGTACCAATATACACCAGATAAGAGGATAAAAACAGCAAATACTTACACTGGGCAACATTTCCCTTTGCATTTCACTGACAACATAATTGCCCTCATTTTCAATCCCTCTTCTATTTCTCTCCAACTGTTTAAGTAGCAATTTCTCTTCTCTCCTTGCTTCCCTCCTAGCCCTAAAATTATAATGTAAGTAATTAAATCAAAAGTTCTATATATCTTACGGGACAGTCATACACGTATATATATATATCCAGAATACTATGATTACGTACATGTCAACACTGTTCTTCTGCAGTAAGCCATCCACGAACAATCGGATGTCTGGCTCAGTAAAGGCTTTATCAAGCTTCTCTGATGCCTTTACTAAGCTCTGTTTGTACATCTGTTCACTCTCTGACTTCGTCAGTATGGCTATCATTTCTGAAAAGGAGACAGTAGCATTATAAAATAGATAGCACGTGAGCAAGTATTCCTTCTACTAACTGGAAAAATGCTACAATATAGAAATTTCTTAAACCATCCAATCTACAGCCTCATGGGGATAAAACCAGAAATAGAACAATTGGTAAAAGAGGGATATAAATAGTTATTCTTAGAGAGGAATAGAGATAAGAAACTACTTTAAGAAGTTTTAATATAATTATCATCATTTATTCGTTTCATAAAATGTACTTCTATGATCAAGGTAAGTAGATGCATCTTTAAATACTGTATTAAAGACTTAAGGGGGATGGGTGTTTCGTAACGAGCATGGAAAAGCGTTCCTTTTCATTGTATCAAAAAACAAAATATGTAATTTATTATACACATTTTATGTATCATAACAACATTAAAGGAAACAGGAAGAAATTTTTAAAGGGGCGACGTAAAAATTTTAGGTGGTTAGAGATAATTTTTTAAAATAAAAAATATTAGTTGCACGCAAGATACATTTAAGCGGGGAAATAAGGGGAACGACTACCCCTGAAAGCTACAAACTGGAATTGTCCCTGCAGCTTCAGTACTCAAAAGATCATTCGATATAAAAACAGATCTAGATGTGATAAAATTCACAGTCCACAAGGATCCAGAACCTAGCAAGAAAATAGGAAAAACTAAAATGTTCATGGGGGCACTAGGCAGTGCCTCCATTTTTTTCTTTCTTTGGGGGGGGGGGGGGGCTAGGAATAGCTACATCGAAATGAGAAGATACGTATCATCTCCATCTGACAATTTCCATACATAATCACCATGGTGATGCTCAAAGTTAACAGCAAATCACGAATTGCAATATGTTTCTTTCAATGAAAATGACAGATAATTCGTTCAATCTTGAATATAGTGGGTGGCCAAAGCTAGCCAGAAGAGCATGGAAATGCAGTACCAGAAATAGCCATAATTCTCTCATGGATCTTCCTGCGGCAAGTTCTACGAACAGTGAAATGTTTCCGAACAGAAATTGGTATCAATTTCACATCCCTTGTCTGCATGATTCTTAAGTTAATCAATGTACCAGTACAGATAATTTAAGGTACACAAGAATCGAGCAAAAAGACAAAAGTATGTACCAGCATCTATAAGTCGACCTAAAGACGTGTGGCTGAATAGTATTTAGGTGAAAGCAGTTAACGACGATGAATCGGTAAGTAGATCCAAAGAAAAATAAAAAAAAATGCATTGAACAACTAAATGAATGCTCACTACGCATGATAATGATGAAGATAACTACCCAAAAATTGAAGAAAATGAAAATCAAAGGGATAGAGTACACAGTCTAGTGTATACAATTGAGACTATCAAATCTGATTTTACTGAAGCACACAAATGAACAAATTAAAAGGTTACAAGTTTATAAAAATATGAAAAGCCAGGAAAATAATACCTCCCAACACCAAAAACATGATTCAGAATCGTCCTCCAGTACATCAGCATCAGCATTGGGCACACCATACATCAGCCTCTGCCCCACGAAAAGCACACTACTTTTTACCGACGCATATGTCACCGGCTCGAAGGCAAGCCTGCTTTCTGCCTTCTTTAACTTGCTGTAAATTTGATCAACAAGCCTCGTTAAGGGAAGCTCGCTCTCTTCCATCAAGACCGCGATTACCGCATTTCTCGAAGCACACTCGCTCAGCTCGACGTCCACTTTTCGATCCTTGACCTCCTTGTAGTATTCAAAAAGTCCGTCAAGTTCCTTCTGAAGAGCCTCGATGTGGGCTTCTTTCTCTTTGGCGCTCAAATTTACCAGTGATAATGTGGGCCTTTTCCTCTTCCGGATATTTCTGGAGCGAGCATGACTGTTTGGTTGTTGGTCTTCCTTAGTAACTTTAACATCAGTGTCAACTATGGCTGCATCTGCCATTCTCACGCCCCCTCAGCACTCCCACACCAGAAGAAAGGGAAAGAAACCCCGCCAAACGAAAAAAAAGAAAACAGAGGGAGAAAAAGGAAAATCCTTGCCTTTAATCAGACGCCGACAAAAAAACGAAATGCCAGCCAAGTCATCGGAGATCTGTGGTAGAAAAAAGCGGAGATGGATGCCCTCGCTTTGAGATTCAAAGTTCAAGCCCTAAGCCTCTAATACCAGTTTCAGAATGGCGCAGTTTGTAGAATATGAAATGACCGGAGTGGGGAATCGTTTTTCGCGCCAAGCAGTTTTGGGTCCAATTGCGAATGTAATAGCGCGCATTTTCCCCCCAACCGGTACTTTGCATTTTGACGCGTAGAAAGATTTTTTTTTTTTGGGCCACTGCGACATACTGCGGTTTTTAATATAAGATCCTGTTTAACTTTTATTTTGGTCTTAAGACCACATCCATTTTGTCTTTCATATTTATGCATTTTTTTCAAGATAGTCCTTCTAATAATTATAATTCTAGCTAATATAGTTGATTAGTAAAGATATTTTAGGAAAGACAATACCTATTTATTACAAATAACTAACATAACTTCTTTCCTTAATCTCCTCAAATTAGTCAAATGGATCTTATAATTAGGACCGGAGGTAGTATCATGGGTTAGACTTGCAGGTCGAAAAATAACCGGTCAAAGTTAGCTAAAAATCAACCTATTAGCAAATAAATTTTTTAACTAGCACATAACTTATTGTGGGTTAGAATGCTAACTCATGGATTAACCCGCATTTATTTTTTTTGGTATCTTTTAAATTTTATTAATTATTATAATTATATTATTATATTTTATATCCTATCTAAAAATTTTAAAAAATACTGATATCATTTATTTGGTTTCTTCAAGTTTGAGGGAAAAATAAAAATTTCCTTATATTCTTTTTATATTGTAAAATAAAAAAATATTAAAAAAAATAAAAAAATAAAAAAAATAGTTGGCAGGTTAGCTGTCAACCTACCATGGCAGGTTAGCCAATCTGCCATTACACGAAGCTTTTTCAACTTGCATTGCCTAACCTTAGCCTGCTATGGGTTGGCCTATATTACCATTTCTAACAAACAAATTTTTTTAGTAAAATTAAATTATCATAGATATTTATTATTTTTATACCAAGAAGCTAATGTTTCTCTAAATTTTCATAGCAAAGAAAATTATATAATGTTTAAATCACATAAATATTAATAATAAGATGACAAAATAGAAAAATAATATAGAAGAGTATAGATCAGTTCTTCAACCAATAGGCTATTTGTTTTAGGTTATAATACTTTTACCTAACTTGAGACAAAACTTGGCTCAAGCATACTACCACGCACATAAAATCATTTCTAAAAAAAAACAAGTCCAAACACCCTTAAAGTCACATGCAATGGATTGAAATTTGAAAAAAAAAAACAAATGGAAGGATTTTTTTTCCATCTAAGAACTGATAGGGTTTGTAGAAGATACTCTTTTATGTACTAAATTCCAAGGTTGAAATGCATGAGTAAAAACTCTTGTTACAAGGAGAAAGCTCACAACACAAATTATTTTCTTTTGGATAAAAAATCAATTATAAATTAAAGATTAGTACATAATTATAGTTACATCATAAAACAACTCACCTAAAAATTCACATGATAATACATAAAAACACAAAAACAACCTACAACAACTATTCAAACAAAAGCATAAACTAAAACCTCCCTTAGATTAGATTGAAAAACTAAATAATACAAAAAAAAACCCCAACAATATGCTATTAATGCCCACTTCAAAAGGGCAAAGACCATTATCACTAGAACAAGTTCGTGTGTATTGACGACAATTGGCATTTACGGTTAAGGGTCTTGGGTTTAGGGTTTTAGGGTTTAGAGTTTAGTGGTTTACGGCTTCAAGTATTGGGTTTGGGGTTCACGGCATCGGGCTCGGGCTCGGGGCTCGGGGCTCGGGGCTCGGGGCTTTAGGATGTACGGTTTTAGGGTTTAGGGTTTACCGTAACACCTTTACTTTATGCCAAATAACTAACCAAATAGAAGCGAATGGAATCAAATTCGATGGCCTAAAGTTTGGAAAACTTAACTTTGAAAAATTTTGTTCTTAAGTTACTATTTACCACAACCCATAATATGGTCAAACTTTGAAAAATCATAATTAATTTTAAAAAAATTGAAATTGAGTGATTCCAAGTTCCATTAGAAGCTGTTTGGATTATATTTTGTGAAAAAATAGTTGCTGGATGAATTGTCTTTAAATTCGAGCCCAGTTTAATTTCTAAAAAAAATATTGTTTATATGGTTATTTTTTAATTTTTCAGTATATTTACCTAATTTTGGATAGGCATAACTTCTTGTACAAATATCTAATTCAGGCGTGTTACCACTTATTTTAAAGAGAAAAATGAGATCTATTTGTCTGTAAAATTTTGTTACCTAACTCACTCGATTGGTTAGAATCATGTTGGTCAAAGTTTGATCCCAAAACATTGACTTTTATCCCCCCAAATGTTTGCCTTTTCATACTTAAGCTCTAGCTAGCCATACAATCCATTCATCCACATAATTAGGATAATAGCATACTTTGGCACATAATTGCATCAGACTATAACATAAGATCATCCTAAAAGGCTTAATTTACAAATATCCACATAATTCCAAGAAAGGATCGAAGCCATATAAAGTTTCATAACATCAAGTATTCTTTCATGCATTGATCACTTCCTTGCCTTTTCCCTTTGATGTTTTAGGCTCTAGGGTTTGTTAAATATGGGAGGGGTTAGATTTATAGGAATCTTAGTAGCATAGCATTACATTTGCAATATTACACTCAGGCAAAGTATAACATGCCACGTGCACTAGTTTTCACAAGCTTTCGACTTCATTCACATGCAATGGAAAGGAACTAACATGCTTCTCATTCATAGCGCTCAACAATGCATAAGCCAAGATATTACAGGCATGGAGTTATACATCACATAACATCATAATCTCATCCACCTCATGGAATAACAAAATAGCATAACATATAGTAATAAATACAATGCGAGGCAACATTTAAACAGTAAATGTTAGCTACCGCTTGTAAGCTTATCCTTAGCCTTCAAGCTTTATCCTAGCAAAATTCCTCCTCTTTGGATGCAAAACATAGTGATAACATAATAGAGCATCACACATTATTATTCTATTCATTATAACACCCCTTAATTCCTTTTTACTTGATTCTTGGGTTATTATTTCTAGCTTTGATTTCTTAATTTTATTGGGCCATTCCTATATAATTTTTCATGTAGAGTTCAAATATCCACTTCGATTTATGAAAATCCAATTCCATCCTATTGAAATCATATTGGCCGAATTATAGGGGATTTAATTCTAAAATTTTCGCTTTCAATTTTAATGCTTCTAAGCATCCTTTTTTTGGTGTTTTCCTACACCATTTCATCATTTAAACACATTGAAAGCATCAATTGAATTGGATCTAACTCAAGTTCAAGGGGTTGGATTTTCTTTTCAAGACACAAGTAAAATCAATCAATTCCTTCCCCTTCCAAGTCCAAGGGGTTAAAATCTGTAGGATGCTACATTGAGGGTTTAGGAGTTTGCAGTTTGGGGTTCAGGGGAAGGGGCCTAGAGTTCAAGGGTGAGGGTGAGGGGCTGGGGGCAAGGCTTGGGTTAGGGTTTAGGGTTTTTTTTAGGGTTCGGGGTTGAGGGTTAAGGGCTTAGGATT